TTTTATTATATTATTCTGTCTTGTTTTTTAAATTTTCCATAATAAAAAGTTTTTTCAAATTCTGTTTGTAATGTCCCATAAAATAAATTTAATCTGGAGTGAATTCATATTCAAGCTGCTGATTTTATTGGTATTCTTTCTAAGCATTATATTTCTGCACATATTTGGGGTTGGTTTGCAGGCTTGTTTTGAGTAGAAAGTTTGATATTGGTCTTGTTTTGCTTTGTTTTGTTTTCTCTCTCATTTTTCCCTCCCTGTGTAGTATTTTTGTGGTTGCCTATATTGCACCCAAGTGCAGGGCCAGGTGTGGTGTGGCCTTTGGAGGCCTGCCTCCACTGTGGTTCTGGTGGTGCTGCGGCTCTGGGACCTATAATGAAATCACTGGATTTCATTATAAATCTCAGATGAACAGAGTGGGTTGGTAGTACTGATTAGGGGATGGAGTGAAGGCAGTGAGCTAGTCACCTGGCTGGCTTACTGCTGGAGGCCAAGGCTTTAGGGGATGTGCTTGGTTCATTTGTTAGGGCTGTAGCCTGGGCCTGTGGGCTAAACCTGGGTCCAAGCAAACGGAAAACCATGCCTTACATTGGGGTCTTGAGGAATCTGTTACAGCAGCTTCTTACTCTGGGGTAGCCCTAGGCTCTGTGTGGCACACCTGGCCCCAGTGCCTCCCTCTGTGGAGCAGCACTTGCTCTGGCATCTCTGCTGCCTTCAGCCTCACCTACTGCTTTGCATTTCTGTTTAGTTGGGGATTTTATTCTTGTTCTTTGACGCTGGCTATGTCTCTCTGGCCTTGTGCTCTTATTTTTTATCTGCCCTGACTATGTGTTTGGAGCCAAGTAGATACATCAGAGTATGAACTCATTGTGCTCTCTTAACTGGAGGAAATCCTTGACTAAATCACTAAAGATTCCGTTCAATTCCCTATTCAAAGACTGTGATCTGCTGAGTATATCTTCATAAAGGTGATATTTTCCCTTTGTGTTGGAGATAGCATACTTTATTCAGTATTTTTCCTCCCAGAAGAGTGTTTTGGAAATCTCCTTAGAGAAAATAGCAACCCGCTACCCCATAAGTTATTCTGTCTGTGGTCTCCTCAGCACACATCCCTCTCTGAAATTACCTGATTTATCTGCTCCCACATTTGTCTGTCCTACTGGGATCTAAGCTTCCTGGGAACAGAAACTTTCTCTCTTTTCTGTTTTGTATCCGCAGCCCCTTTACGATAGTGTCTGTCACATGGTGGACACTCAATAATGTTCTGATGATTACTGAATCAGTCACTGAAACCTGTCTGTGCCTCCCTCATTTCATGGTCATGCTGAGAGATGCCTGCTGCATGTCGTCTGTGAGCGCTGGAAAGCAGGTGTTGGACTTCTACAGCTATGTAGAGTGACTAGTGTTGTCTGATGCCTGCCTTCATTCATCAAAATCGAATCATCGAGGGCCTACTCTGGGCCAGGCACTGACATCCACTTGTTTATATCTCATTCATTTTCTACAGCCCTTTACCATGTCACCTCCTGTCCATTATCAGTCACTGGATTTCATTATAAATCTCAGATGAACAGAGTGGGTTGGTAGTACTGATTAGGGGATGGAGTGAAGGCAGTGAGCTAGTCACCTGGCTGGCTTACTGCTGGAGGCCAAGGCTTTGGGGGATGTGCTGGAGTCGGCCAAGGCCCTTCCTCTCACAGAGCTTCTGTTCCAGTGGGCAAGACAGACTCATAGCTCTTGAAGCAGTTCATCACTTACTTGGTAACAGCTTAGTTATGTGGCAAATTGATGTAATTACAGAAGGCCCCTGGCTCCTCAATATACCTTCTCCCGTGTGAATAGTCTCTATGTGGCCTGAGGAAGCAGCAGTAGTTGGGGAGCTCTGCCTGGAGACTTAGCTCTGCGTCCCATTCTTGACATCAGTGTTCATAATGGCAACATAGGCCGAGCATTTCTGGAGCCACTGCCCATCCCAATGTGTCAGTTAGGTGGTGGGTGGACATGTGGAAGTGCCCCCTTGTCTGCTGCCCACTGACCCCTAGTGAATGGCCACGGAAGAGCCTCAAAACAATTTTGCTTTCAGATGTCATCTTCCTGCTTGGCTGGGACTGTTGGCCAGAAAATGGCAGGTCCAGGGCCCAGGAGATATTTCTTGCTGGCTACTTTACTGTATCAGATTCTCTGATTGCACCAGGGATAGTTAACTGGTGAGTGCTGGCTGCTGAGGATCCAGCACAGATTAGCCATTCTCGCATTCCTGGAACCTGCCTCAGCATCATGCTTTGAAAAATCTTGCGAGAAATCCCCAGTATTCAGTCTCACTGTTTGTATTTAGTGTTTTGGTTTTTTTAAAGTGTTGGCATTCCACAGGCATTCCAGAAACCTTCTTGGCATTTTTAGATATTTTACAGCTGCCTCAGGAGCCAAGTTATTACTCTTCTGTATTCTGCAGGTAAGAAGAAAATACACAAGAGAAGGCTAGCAACTTGCTTAAGCTCACAGGCCCCTCGGTGATCTAGCTGGCATTAGAACTTGATTCTCAGGTGGTCAGCCTGTCGCCCAGCCCTGCTGGCTTGGATTTTCCTGGGAGCAGTGTGGTCCTCCAAACCCAAGCCTTTCCTCAGACACTGTCGTGGGGTCAGCTCCCCACATTACCAGCCTTCCCCCACACTCACATCCATTCCCACTGCGGCTTCAGAAAGGCTCATGCCAAGGAGAGTAGCAATGCCAAGGAAATGAGCTTTCAGACACACCAGTTCTTGTCCTGCCTGGTGTTTCTGAGCAGTGCAGACCCATGCACTCATAGTGTGGTTTGAAGGAAGAAACCCAGAACTCAGGGTCACACTGACTTAGGTTCATGGTCCACCTTAGTCATCGACCAGCTCTTGGGGGTCATGAGAATGAAGTCACACAGGAACCTAGAATGGTGTCTGAGCACACTTGACCCTTAGCAGAGGGTGGAGGCAAGCAGATGGCATTATTCCTCCTACAAGCACCACGCCTGTCTTCCGGAGTTCTCAGACCCCGCTTTGCCATGATGTTGGTGTACCATTGTGGTGGCCTGCAGTGGCCATGCCCCTTTCTAGGGGTTTCCTTTAACCTCTATACAGTCCCGTGTGGTTCTGTTCCAGGTTTATATGTTACTAGAGGCCCAGTGCATGAAATACGTGCACGAAATTCGTGCATGGGTGTGGTCCCTAGGCTTGGCTGGCGATCGAAGCGCGAGTGTCTGGTGTGGAAGGGCAGGTCCCAGCTGACCTCTGGGCCCTGAGCAGCACCTGGGCCCCTGGGCCCCCATGCACCCCCCTCTGCCTGAGTCACGGCACCCAAGTCTCCACGCAGAGATGCAGTGAGCACGGCTGGATGCGTGGGCCAGGGTGCAGCATGGGCCTCTGGGCCACCCAGCGGCGCCCCCCGGGTGGGCAGCGTGCTCTCTTCTGGCTGGCCTCGCAGACTGGCTCCTATGTGAACCCATGGGGAGCCCGACTGGCCCCTGTGGTCCTGTGGCTGTGGCCCAGCTCACCCAGAAAAGGCCGTGCGGGTGCAGGGCAGGATCCTTGCAGGCGCCTGGCATCTGAGCATGGGGGGTAGGGGGCTGCTTACACCGGCGCGTGAACCCTAGCATCCCGGGGGAGGGTAGCAGGGAAAGTGAGAGCGAGTTTGGACACCCTGCATTCTCACCACACCTCCGTCCCCATCACCCCCGCCCCCAGGTAGCTAGCAAGAGGTTGCAGCCCCCCACCTGGGTGCTGTGGGAGGTTGGTTGCTGCCACCCACTCCCCAGTTCCCTGTCCCAGCCCGGGGCCTAGCCCCGAACGGGAGATCAGGGCCTGCTGGCTGCTGGTTACTGTCTGTGGGGCCATCGGTCAGGGCCAGGCCCCCTGCCCGGCTCCCTCAGCATGTGGGAGCCGGGCAGCGGCCCTGCCCACTGATTGCTGTCTGCGGGACGATCGGCGGGGCCATCGGGCCCCCACTCGCACCCGCCTTGGCCTGGTGCTGCCCGCTCACCTGCTCCACCATCCCGTAGTGGTCCCAGTCTGGTCGGGGCCCATCAGAGCCCATAGCACCTCCACTGCCGCCAGCTGCCAGCGCTGCATTGCTGATGCCTGCCATGTTCTGTACCGCCCCCTGGTGGTCAGTGCACATCATAGTGAGTGGTTGAACTCGGGGTCGAACTTCCGGTCAAGGGGACAATTTGCATATTAGGCTTTTATTATATAGGATACCTGAGTAAGCGGGACCTTGGTGGAGTTAGAAAATTGTTCGAGGTCACTCAGCTAGTGAAGGGCGATGTGGGTTCAGCCCAGGTTAGCTGGTTCCAGGTTGCTTGTCATGGTTAACCAAGCCCCTCCTCCTAACTGTGACCATGAGGGCGGGTCCTCGGCTGAGTGCACCAGCAGTTCTGTTTGTTCCCACCAGGTGGGCGAGGGAGCCACTGCAACCTCCGGCTCTACGGAGTTTGCCTCACCAAAAGAAGGACATTTTGGCATCCCTGCCTCTTACAACTTAGAGAGTGAGTCACTGGCCTGGTGTGGTGCCAGGTGTACGGACTCATGGCCAGGTATACGGACATATGCATCTGCCATTAGGACCTGGCCCCAGCTCTTCCCTCGTAGCGATGAGCATTGGGCCACTTAGCCCCTCGGTTTTTTCATTTATAATAGGGGAGCATAATAATCCTACCTACCCTTTAGAGAAATTGTAAGGCTCAAATGAAAGAATATGTGGGAAGCACTTGGTCCAATACTTGGCACATGCACTAGTAGCATTCAGTAAATGTTAGTGCTTGTCATCTGCGAAATGGTTCTTAAAATGACCTACTGTTAAGTGTTGTGGTGAAAATTAAACACAAGGTAGGCAAGCGATGTAGCATAGCACGGGTTCCAGTATCGCTCTTCTTCTCATTTTTAATGCCACTGTGAGCAGAAATCGTCGTGGGTTTCTCCTTGCAGCCCTAGCCCAGCTGCTTCTGGTTGACATGGACTTTGTTCTCTTCCAACTAGGACAGCGAGCTGGAGAACCGAGAGTCGGAGCTGAGACGCCACAACGCCTTCTATAAGGAGCAGCTGGCGCGCATTGAGAGGAAGGTAAGACTGGGGCTCGGCTGCCTTTTTGGGGGGCCAGGTCCTAATGGCACTGTCAGGGAGAGAGGAAGCCACAGTTCCTCAGTGCCCATTCACCCCAATAGCCAGTCACCCCATGGGCATGCCCTCCTACATGCCACAGTGAGCACCACACCCCCAAACTTTCAACAAGTGGCAGTCACAGAGATCTTTTTGTTGAATGCCTTGCTCGTTGCAGTTCAATTTTAGTAAAAAATCGTTGCACCACAGGGCAGTGCTGAGACCCAGTATACGTTTCTCACTTTAGTTAAGCTACACTGGATAAAAATAATAATAACGTGAAGTCTTGCTATACAAATATATTAAAGTTGTATTATTGATTTTCTCCTGGGATTTGGGGAGATCAAAGTGCACCATGGCTATACTACTTTTCTAAGGATAAGCCTTTGAAATGAATGAGATTCAAAGACATTTCATTCCTTTTTTAAAAGCCTACAACAATTCCTGAAAATTCATTTGGTAACTTGCTTACTTTGAAGGAGGAGGGGGGTGGGGGAGGAGGGACTCACTTGTTGATCACGGCAGATTATTTTTCAAAGAAATGGCTTAAAATGTGGGAGGGATGGTTGGGAGGGTAAAAAAATAGTTCTCTCTCCTGCCTGAGACAGCATGCCAAGCAACCCGAGCCATCAGCTTATTGCAGGCAAATCTTTGAGAATCGTTTGTCACGGTTTGGAGCTTTGAAATTGACAGTTTGCTTGAGGGGCTTGATTTTCATAAGGGCTTTCTCCTGTGGCATGCCACACTGGAGCCTGGCAGAAACGTGGGTTTCTGGATTTCCAGGCAGCAGGGACATGGGGGCGTTTCCTCCCTGCTCCATGGACACCCCCACCTGTCCACCCTCTTTGGGGTGTCTCAGGGACCATCAGAATTGTGATGTGAACACAAATGCTGATGGTGACAGCCTGTGGTCCCAAGGGCTGGCAGGGCACCTCGAGCTGCCTACAGAGGTGGGTAGGCCTTAACAAGCACATGTTTCCCGGAACAGCCTCCTGCCCAGGTTTGACGATAACTATAATGACAAGGATTGTGATTTGAGATCCTGGAAAAGGGTAAAAACATTCCACCAGCCATAGCTCTAATTATCACAGTTGCCCATATGTTCATAAGCACAGATTTTTTTTTTGTTAAGTGTGCAATTTTACGGTCTCCTGCTGTGCTCCTCCTGCATTTTCCTCTCTGGGTTTGGCATGTGTGTGTTTGGGGTGGAAGGCAAGTAGCCTCACAGCTTTTTTCCTCCCCTAAAATCTGTTTTCCCCTCATCACGCTCCTGTCTCCTCTCTATGATAGTCCTCTGCTTTCCTGAGGGAAAGGACATTCTCCGGGATGAGCCCTTCTTTCTCATCTGCTCTCCCCACGCATCATAAAGTGAAGTCCAAACTCCGTATGCATGCACATGCAGGCTTTTATTTTGTTAATGAGGTTTTCCCACAGGATTGTGAACAGTATTGAATGCATCTAGAAGGAGGTACAAAAACATGATCTCCTTCGACTCTTAAACAGCAGCATTTTAAAAACATATATGTGTTTTTTATTGATTTCAGAGAGGAAGGGGGAGTGAGAGAGAGATAGAAATATCAGTGATGAGAGAGAATCATTGATCAGCTGCCTCCTGCATGCCCCACACTGGGGATCGAAACCGCAACCTGGGCATGTGCCCAGGGAATCGATCAGTGACCTCCTGGTTCATAGGTAGATGCTCAACCACTGAGCCACGCCAGCTAGGCTAACGAGCAGCATTTTGCTGTGATAGTACAAAGGAGGAAAGAGCCTCAAACATCCCAGAAACTGGAGATTGGTGAGGGAGCTGGGGAACGGAGTGGGCTGGAGAGTGGGGATCAAGGAGGCATGGTCAAAAGCTTAATTGTATCCGTTTTGAAAAAGTTTTCCATTTTTCTCTGTGGATAATTTTATTCCGGTAACGGCTTGGGAGGATGGAAACAGCATCCAACAATCACTTTTATGAACTGTTGCTTTTATATTATTCTGCTTTCAGTTGTTGAATACTCTCAGACCTTGACATTTCTGTACACACAGCTTCAGGGCCTTCCAACCATTAAGCTCCTTTCCTTTTCTTTTTTTTCCAATTCCTTTTAAGTTTAGAAATTGGTGGTGGAAACCTGTTCAGGGGGAAACATGGAACAGTTGTTGAATCATCCTTTACCACCGCAAATTGTTGGGCGTTTGGTCACAGGTGAGAGAAGGTTGGGGTAGGGGAGTCGGAGGCCTGGGCTCTTGGAGGCACACTGGTGGTCCACATACCTCTTGGCTGGACCCCTGTGGTAGGATGCCTGCCTGGAGTGCTCGTCTATTGTGCTTGTCATGTAGGAACAGCCTGCACAGAACCCAGACTCATTTTTCAAGGAGGAGACTTCTTAACCCCTTTGTACTGCAGTATTTATCCCCTAGATGATTATTCTTAAGTGCGCAAATCACATTTTGTAGGGCTCCTATGCTTTATAATCTTTCCGAGTAATTTTTCCTCACGCCCACACTGTAAGATCTAAGTGAGGAGTGTTTTCCATTTCACCACAGAGAGCAGCAAGCTGCCTTGTGAGGGTCTTAGGGCACCTGTAAGCACATCCCAGACACGGAGCTCACACACACGCTGCGAAGCAGAGGGCAGCGCGGGTGAGCGCTGGACCTGGGCCCGTGTACAGCTCTGTATCATCGCACTTTGCAGCCGCTTCACCTTCTCACATCTCAGTTTCTTCATCTGTAAAATGGAAATACTAATGCTTTCTTTCAGGGAGTTGGTGGGGGCATTAGCAAGGTAAAATCTGCAAAAATGTTGGCGTATGCCACGGCTCCACCTATACCACATCTGGATTCAGCTATCATGGGGCTAAGGGTGACTTATGCCCAGTGGCTCTGAACTCAGCCCTGATAGCTGTTGAGCTGACCACTCTTCTGCCCTCCACTATGGAGCCAAGTAGGGTGGGGATGTGAGCGGGCTTTGGAGTCCAGCAGACCTCAGCCTTAGTTCTGCCTCAATAATTTAACAGCCTTATGACTCTGAGCAAGTTGTTTAAATTCTGAGCTTCTGTTCTCTTATCTTTGAAATGGGAATTTTAAGACTAGCCTGCCAGTTGTTTTGGGGATGAGTAGTCATTTCTGTAAAAGTGCCTGAGATAGAAGTTTTCATTTCTCTTTCATGTTATTTCCAGCCTCTTTCCCCTTATTTAATAAATGCATAGCCATTCATTAATTCCACATTTATTTAATTCTGCTAAATGCCCAGAGATTAAGACAATTGTGGTTCCTGCCTCACGAAATTCAAAATCCAGTTTGGAAGGGGGAGTGGAGGTTTTGAAGATTAGGACCCCAGATGGGAAGGTGCCTGAGAGCCAGCTGCATGTGACCAGTGGACCTTCCAGCTGCATAAAAATAGTCTCATTTTTTTCTAAACTCAGCACCTGAGTTTAGAAAAAAAGTGGAGAGGGAATTTTGGGGGTCTAGCTTCAAAGACTGAGGCAGGGAGAAAGGAAGAAACGCAGAAATATGTCTTCTTTGTGGATTTCAGGCTCTTTCCCCCGGAATGTTGATCTCGCTTCCTTCCCGTTGGTGCACACATCCCAGCCCTTCTCCTGTTTTTGTCTTTGCTTCTACTCTGGCCTTCTTGTGACTGTCATGTGATCCTGCCAGTCCTGCAGCCTTCTCAGTGACAGCACTGAACGGCTCCCTGCCTGGTGTCTCTGGGGTGCCAGTTAGGGCCTGTCAGGAAAACAGGAGCTGCTCTAGGTTCAGGGAAGAGGAGTTTAATACAGAAAGTTCACTTCACAAGAGAAGTCGGAAACGTGAAAAGGGCCCAGCCTCACAGATATTGCGGAAATGTATTCACAGCCACAGGGCTGTGTGCACTCAGTAGAATGGCTGACAGGGGAACGATGGACACCTCCAAGTGCTCGTCAGGCTGTAGTTTAACCCAAGCTCTTAGGCACTGCTGATGTGCTGTCAATTGGCAACGCCACTTTGGAAAACTGTTATCCAGTGTCTGCCGAAGCTAAATGTGCACATTGGATGGGCCCATTTGTATGACGTACAAACACAGCAAAACTAATCTGTGGTGTCAGCCAGTGGGATAATAGTACCTCTTGAGGATAGTAGTGACTAAGGGAACATGCGGGGGCAAGGTTCCTTTTCTTGACCTGGGTGCTAATTACACAGGTGTGTTCAGTGGTGAGAGTTCATGAAGCTATGCTTAGAGGATTTTACACTTTTCTGTCAGTATGTCCTACTTAATAAAAAGTTGAATGCAGCTGAGGAAGGCAGGCCTGCCCTCAGGCATTAATAAATTTTTATTTTTATTTTTGTTGTTGTTGTTAGTCCTCACCTGAGGATATTTTTCCATTGATTTTTAGAGAGAGTGTAAGGGAGGAGGAGAGACAGAGAGAGAGAAACATTGATGTGAGAGAGACACATTGATTGGTTGCCTCCCACAAGGCCCCAATCAGGGCCAGGGATTGAGCCTCAGGCACTCATAGAATTACCCGCCATTCCTTCTTATCTGCACTCTGGGCCCTGTGACCCTGTCATGTGTTCTAGCACTCACCACACTGTCTTGTGGTTCCTGGCGTCTGCGGTTTTTTCTACTTCCAGGCTGTGAAGGTCTAGGAGCTCAAAGTTCTCATTGATCTGATTCATCAGAGTGATTCATCACCAAGGACTGGGGAGGCATAGAATAGGTGCTCAGTAAATGCAAGAATAATGAGAGGAAAGTGTGTGTGCACAAGTAGGAAACAGTGACACAGGGGGCCCCAAGAAGAAAGGGGAGCTCTTGCCAAAAAGGCTTTTAGGCAGAAGATGTGTGTAGAGAATGAGCAGGACATGGAGAAGGTGCGGCTTCTGGATGGAAACCCCAGCCAGTGTGCTCCATGTACCAGTTGGCAGTGGGTGGTAAGCTGTAAAAATAGGTTGGGGTCAGATTGTGAGGTACCTTGGATGACTGGCTGACAAGCGTGGTC